AAAAAAAAAAAAAAAAAAAAGAGTTGAAAAACTACCTATTGGATATCATGTTCACTATTTGAACGATGGGTTCAATGGAAACCCAAACTTCATCATCACACATTATACATATGTAACAAACCTGCACATGTATCCCCTGAATTCAAAATAAAAAAATAAAGCATCACCTTCTATGTTATCGCCCAAATGAATACTGCTCATTGGTAGGGCCCGCTCTTCTCTAAAAGTCTAATCTATTATTTTATGAAAATTTAGAACCTCAAACCATTAGAATTTTCAGATCTGATTTTAAAATACTGACCAAGAAAGAATAAATTTTGTCATCTTGTCTTGCTTTTTTCCTGTCAATATTGCCTAGTTCTCAAAGCTAGTATAACACTGGCAGAGCTTCTGGTGATCTGCAGGCTTGGTTGTTGTTCATAACAAGTGATGTGTTTACAGAGAGAATAGGTCTTTCACTAAGTATCTCTTATATAAAATCACATAAATATATTGTGATTTTTGACCACCACATTTGCTGACTATATTTGTGCAAGAATGTCTACTCCACAGGTACATTAGGATAAGGATGAGAGTAGAGTATGGTGCTTATGTGAAAGTGGCTACATTCAACAGACACCTGGGCATGTATTTCTTGGCAGGACTCTAAAAGCACTAGTAGATCATTATTGCATATAATAAAGGGGCAGTGATGATTCCTAATCCCCAGATGTAGAAATACATAGAGATACTGAATTGTCCCAAATCAAGTCTATCACATTAATCAAATCAAGTCAAATCTAATCAAATCAATTAATACTTAACACTTACTATATGTAAACAACGGTGAATGGCAGTGTAATCAGCTTCAACCAGGATGGAAGACTCAGATGTCTAACTTTTCTAGTTCCATGACCAGTCCACTAGGTGAATATACTTATCACAGCATTATTTATATTCTAACATTATCCAGTGCATTCATTTCAAAATTTATGCGAAATTGCTGGATGACAAAGGAAATCAGCTAGTTGGGAATACTTCAAAGAGGTATAAAGCATGAAACAATGCTAATTACAGAAAAGCTCAACAATCACGCATTACTGTCCTTCTTGAATAAAAAAATAAAAATATTTGTTAATGAGACCATGCTAATAGAGATTAGTAATAGACAAAAGTGAAAGCATTTTTCCAACCAATCCCTGGAGGTCCATCTTCTACTCTCTCTCTTCCATATCCACAGGAATAGATAAAGCAGGTAGGGGGAGTCCAAATATCAGAGCTATTTCTGGATTCATCTTAGACTGTCACAGGCATGAGGAAAAATGGTAAAGCCTGAATTCTTGGCACCACCATAAGTAGCAGACTTTTATTATTTTTATATCTCCTGGCTTATCATTTATCCAAGTACTGATTATTAAATAGCTTATATTAGGCTCTTGCAAAAAGTTTTGTCATTGGATCAGTCATATTGATTTTAATTACTCACTTGAATCTGAATGGCATAAAAAATATAGTATCAAATTATATATTACTATTTTTAGAAACATGAAAGTAGCCTGTGACTAAATTTTAACTGAACTTTAATATTATTTAAAGTGTGAATTAAAATATCAGAACATTACAATTGAAAAACAAAATAATTAAATTGAAGATGGTCAAGAATCTGAATAAATGCCATATGAGTGAAAAACAAAAAGATTCTTGGAATAAAGACATTCTTGATCTTGTCTCCGTTTTTTCATAAAATGTTCCCCATTCAGTTTGATTTCTATTAACATTCTATTGAAAATGCTTTCTAGAAGGTCAACGGTGCACTTCATTAACAGATCCAAAGGTTCTATTATCTCTGACCTCTTTATCATTTAATATTATTTACCATACCTTGCCTTCATGATTGAAAATGAGGTTTCTGAAGGCAGATGCCTATCTTATTCATCTTTGTATTCCCAGCACTTGTGGAAATGCTTGACACATAGAAGTGGCTAAAAAAGTTTGCTTGCCTCCTGGATGGAATCATCCCCTTTGAAGTTCTGTAAAGTTTCCACAGAGTACTCCATATGGATGACTTCTTAATGTACACCTCAGGTTGACACTCCCATCCCACAAGAGCCCCTGCCCTAATTTTTTATTTCCTACTGAATACATCCATCTCAGACTCTCAGACTCAAATGAACTAGGATGTTGTAAACTACAACCTCAGTGGCACCTGTATTTCTGTCTCCCAGGTTCAAAACATTGATGTCACCTTTGCCTCATCCCTCTTCTTCATTTCCTACAGACAAGCAATCATCAATTTCTGTAGAGTTTTGATGCATTCTTTGAAATGTCTAATATTCATCCATCATTTCTTCTTGTTTGCCATTGCCACCACTCTGGGCTAAATAACTCATTTAACAATTGTGTCAGAGTCTTAACTGGTCTCCATGCTTTATCTAAAAAATGAAAACCAGATTTTCCTTCCTTAAATATCACTTTAATTATGAAATTTTATT